TATTAAAAACTCGGCCTGATTATTTATATAAGTCATAAAAAGAATACTCAGTGAGAGTTTCTGAATTCTAGAGGGATCAGGTAGGGAGAATAAGTAAGTGTTTCATCTTTGTTCGCAAAGGTCTGTCTGACCAAATTGTTGATAGCTTAAGAGAAAACATTTCTTTAAATCTGGAAAAAAAAGCATTAGCACATCTTCCTTTGTTTTTGTAGTCTTATGTAATTAATATTTGACCTTGATCTTTTGTTAGCAGTTTTATGAAGCCATAAGTTTCACAATTAGAGTTCAGTAATTTCTTACCCACTTCAGTTTTATGATCTGAAAGTTTATCAGAAACCTGATTTCTAGAATAACTGTCAGAGGCCTTACCAGGTATCTCTCTGAAGATGAAACATATTTGCAAAAGCATCAATTAAAACAATAACTATCTATAGATGACAAAAGACTTAACATTATAATGCAATGACAATGAAAGTTGGCTATTTCTGTGACATACTATTTTAAAATTATAACTAGAATTATGACTGATAACCAGGACAGGTCAGAATTTTAGGAATATTATATAATTTTTAAAACACTTTTATTAATGACATTTACCTGTGCAATATAACCTGAGGTTTATCATCATTTTTTGACAATGCTTTCCATGCAATTTAACATGCCAAATAAGTCTAATTAGTTTAATATCTCCCTCTTTATAGGAAGAGAGAACAAATTCTTTGTGGAGTCCCAGGGGCCCACTGGAAATTCTCAGTTACTTTTAGGTGAAAAGAAATACTTTATTTGGAATTTGAGTTTTGGGAAGATTGTCAAAAATATCAAAAGGTTTTAGAACACTTGGTCAAATAGGATCATACTTCACTGTGAAACAATGCTTAGTTATCCTTTTGATCATGGTGACAGTTACAGATTTTCAGGCAAATACAGAAATTTAAATAGTTGTAAGTAAAACTTTAGCCTTGTGATTAAAGACCTGGTAAAGACAATACAGGAAATTTATTTTGATAAAACATAAAAGCCCTGACTTTTTGGTAGACTCCTCAAAGGTAAAGAAAAAAACCTTTCATAATGCTTTTGTCAAGAGAAGACTAAAAGTCCAAGAAAATTATCTCTTTAAGAGAAAGAAACCCAAATTCTATTTTTTGCACCAGCTTACTTTTGATATTGAAACTCTTTTACTTAATTAAATTCATTTCAATCTTAGCCAACTTGACCATGCACAAAACTCTTTCCTCAGGGTTTCTCTTCCACAAACCTTCTATAACTTTCTTTTTTAATTCATAATTTGTCCCTTTCCTTCCCACCTTCTTAGTACGTTATTACAAATTTACCTTTCTTTACAAAAGAAACAAATATATTTCCATTACGTGTACCTTCTTTGCTGAAAATGTACAACTTACTTTCCTTGTATACCAAGATGTTTCCATTATTCTTTACATTAACATCCTATGGATTGGCTGACTTATACATACTATCTAGAAACATGTGCTTTCTCATAGAAAATTTTTAAGTGTGGCACAAAATAGGTTTATTAATAAAACCAAGTATTTTCCTAGTTTCTCTGAAATAAAAAGCCAAAGGTAGATAAATCTATGTTTAGTAATTAATGTCTAATGTTTTATCTTATGTGGAAATGACCTAGATACATGGTAAATTTCTATCATTTAACTTAATTTAGCAAAACTCTAAGATTTCAAGCTATCAAAAGTTTTGAAGTCATTTTAAGTACATATACCATATTACATAATTATTGTTAAAAGATTCACCCCAAAACTTTTATCTTACTTACATCTATTTAGTTTACTTGTCCTCAATAATTATGTTTAGATTGCCTACAATAAATTCATGAGACATTAGACAAAATAAGCTATCTTTCTAAGTTATTATTTTTGCTGAAAAATTTTATAACAGAGATAACAAGAGCTTATTTGACGAATAAACTCTGGTAAAATGAAGTCTGCATGTCTGCATCATATCTAATGCTGGTAACTCTGACGACATGTTTATTTCAGTCAGTCCCACAAGCTTAAATATGCTTTCATTACCAAAGGTTATTTTATATCACATTAACTTGAAAAAAATCTGGGTTAGTTTCTATTACATTGGGAAATAATTTATATGTGATTACTGTAGGTCAGTTAAATACAACTCTTTTATAAATTATACAAATTGAAGAAAAATATCACATATATGACACACACATATAGACATACATAGACAGATGCAAGTAGAGACCTTAAATAATTTTTGTTAATTTTTTTGCCATGAATCGGGTGCAATACAAAACTCACTAACTTATAAAAGAATAGTTGGATCTAAACTGTGTTACCAGCAGATAGAATAAACTAAGATTTTCTGCCTAGGAATTGGTGATAGTCTAGATAACAGCTCCTGGAGAACTTACAACCTTTTTGAGATAAATAGGGGAGGTTTTGGGATTGGTGAAAGGGAATGAGTGGAGTCTGAACTGCCTTTAAAGCTGCATTTCCAGTTTTTCAAAGATTTGTAAGTTGAGGACAGTTGTTCTCAATTCTTGAAAAATTGGGTTGTAATGTAAGTGACATCACAGGTTGATCTACCTGTCCAACTACATCATCCCTAATTTGCTTCTTTCCCTCCACATACATAGTTTTATTTTAAGATTTTATTTATTATTATTATTATTATTATTATTATTTTGTGTGTGAGGAAGATCAGTACCGAGCTAACATCTGTGCTAATCCTCCTCTTTTTGCTGGGGAAGACTGGCTCTGAGCTAACATCTATTGCCAATCCTCCTCCTTTTTTTTTTTTCCCCAAAGCCCCAGTAGATAGTTGTATGTCATAGTTGCACATCCTTCTACTTGCTGTATGTGGGACGAGGCCTCATCATGGCCAGAGAAGCGGTGCGTCAGTGCATGCCCGGGATCTGAACCCCGGGCTGCCAGCAGTGGAGCGCACGCACTTAACCCCTAAGCCAGGGGGCCGGCCCCATAGTTTTATTTTAACTTAGGGAAGAAGGTGTATAAAAAAATTCCTATCAGGCTCCAAATATCAGCTTCCAATTTGGCCAGATTTCTGATCATAGGTTGTGAAATCCTTTAAAATATCTTCTCAGGTTTCAGCTGGGACAAACAATAAATATTTCTGGCAGGATTAAACAACTACATCAATTTTTAATTTTAGTTTCCCCTTGCCTGCTGAAGGGAATAATGTGGCAGTTTCCCAGAAAATCTCTCAGAGTCTCTTCAACTCTGCGAGGGTCTCATATGGGGCCCTCCTTCACAGGTAGATATAGAGGTGTCTGTAAAGACATTAACTTAACGGACTTCTGTATAGTCTTTTCTTTTAGGTACCAGTTGTATCTTAACATCTTATTAGCTTTTTAAAAAATTTCTTTTAGCTTATAAAATTTTCAATAAGGCTGTTTTGGAATTTTGAAGCCTTCCTTTTAAGTGCACTTCTTAAATGACTTTATGTAATTGAGACACTCCTTCTAATGGCCAGTATAATTCCCCTAAGGCTGGTGGAAATTTGGTATGATCCTAGCCACAAATGGAGTTCAACATACATTTCTGTCCAACTATACCTGACTGCAAATGGAGTGAAACCCACATATGTGTCCGACTATATTTTGAAGATCCCAAACTGACAGTTACCAAGCCGATTTCTCAAACAAGCTTAGTAAGATTTTGCTGTTTTTTGTAAGTATTTACAGCTTCTGGAAACCTTAGTTGTGCCAGAAGGTGGCACACCTGACTTTTTAGAGATAAAAGATTGCGTTTAATCTGTCTGTTCCACACTTCTCAAATACAGCATGCAAAAAGCCAAGTTTTGGAAGCTCAAAGGGTCCCCAAAGTGGCCACAGTAACTTTAAATTATCCCAGGTTCTGTTGATACAAAGATCCAGCCATCCATTTACAGCTGTCTTTTCCATATTTCTTATACACGTATCCTGCTGGAGTGCCTGAAGGAGGCAATTCTGACAAAGAGGGCTAAGAGTGGGGTGTGCCCCATTTTGGCCATCCAAGACAAATTATCTTTTGTCAAATTTTCCCATTTTGTAAAGTACTTGCAAGTAAAACTTTGTATGTATTGTACATAAAGCCAGTCGGAGTTTCAGAGCATTGCTGCCTCTTCAGGAGCTTGTCTGCTTTAGAAGCATGGTTACCCATTTTGTTTTAGTTTAATTTTAATATAAAGTCTGAACAATTCCTAAGGGCAGTGAAGTGGGTCAAAATTGTGCTCTTTGTGAGTGTCATTTCCTAAGAGACCATAGACACTCTTTTACGTGTCTCTGTATTTCTCACCAGAAGTCTAAAACCACCATGGGGGCTCAGATCACTGGATGACCAATCCTTATATGTGTGTTCCCCTGACAAGCTGTCAATTATTTAATATGAATGATCACAATGGAGTTACCAATGGGACTACTGCATGTCATGAGCATTGACCTCAGACACTTCCACTAGATTCTCAGTCACCTGAGAACACCTTGTGGCTGGAAGGAGTAAGTGTCCTTTTTCTTCAGAGCTGAACAAATTCAGCCTCTCATTTTCCTGTCAAACAATTTGTTCACAGTTTGTACTCATAAATCTTTTCTAATTTTTAAAGCCAGACTAAAAGTTCAGCCAGCTCAGTTTGCTCCAAAATTCCCCCTAGTTTACCCTTACCTAGTAAAGTACTGGTACACAAATCAGATGGTAAGTCCTACGACTGAAAACAGCTTGAATAAAAGTCAGGACTGTCATTTTAAATAAAGAAGTCTAGATTTCAGGATAACTGACTGAAACACCTGAAGAGTGCAGTGAATTCGGAGGAGCACAATGGGCCCATGCTGTTACCAAGCACCAGTTCAAAGTAGGCTCCATGTAGTTTCAGGAGGGTTTCTCTGAACTCCAGCCTGGCTCACCAAGAAATGTCAATGAAAATAATCAATAATCATTCTATAATAAAGAACAGAACAAAAGTTTTATTTTAGTCAAACTGGGAGTTACAGCCTTCATAAGGGAAATAGTGCTCTGGAGAAGAGCAATTTTCAGCACAGTTATATATCATTTCAAAACAAAGATCCATACATCAAGCGTGACAGGGGTACATTCTTTCAAGGGTTCAAGATGTTCATTACAGATTAGCATGTACACAGTGGGTCAACATGACAGTGGCATCATAGGAAGAGAGACAATAATTATTATCTTTAAAGATTATTGGTGTTATAAGGAGGGAGGCATTTATTCTTATCTTCAAAGTGTGCATTCGTTACTTTACGATTAAAACTGATGTACAATGTGTGTTTGACAGGCTGTTAAGTCAGTCTTCTTTGGTTCATATAAAATTCAGACCAAATCAAATTCAAACCAGAATGCCTGCTCCATATAATTTAATATATAAAAATTTTCTTATCAGGGGAAAGATGCCATTTGCATGGAAAAGGAGAGGCTGAAAACAAACTCTATCGTGTCAAATTAGAATTGGAGATATCAAATAGAGCTCATGGTTTTTCAAATTTATAAATACATTGAAATTTATATGTTAATATATAAATATCTATGATGTTCCAATTCCCCATTCTTCCTGTTCCACCTAAGTCACCACCTATGGGTAACCATACCTTTAGTTTATTATTTCTAGTTTCTAATTCCTATGTTTCTTTTATATATATTTCCTAGCTGCATCCTCTGGGATCATGTAGAATCCTTGAAAGCAATGAAGTCACCTAATGCCAAATTTGCTCTTTACCATTCTCCTCTAAAAAGGACCAAAGTTTCTCAGAAAAAATGGTTGATTCCAGACCAGGGCCAGAAAATAAGAACATTATCCAAGAAAATTTTGCTGAGCCTCAAAGTAAAAATTGCTCCACAAATCATTGGGACACAGGGCAAGCTCAAAGGGACTCTCACTGGCCAAATCTGGAGTAAATTGAATTTCAAAATGAATAACACCAGCAATGGATTATGATTCAAATAAATAAGAATCTATAAATCCATTGTGATATATATAAACCAACAAAAATCAAATGAATGAGGCTTATAGAACGTCCCTTCTTATAGGAAAATACGACTGAGAAACACAGAAGAAATGATAGAATTAGAAAGTCACTATTTGCCCATGAAGTTTGAAATAATTTTTTCGTATAAGAATCACCAATGGATGTTAAATGTAGTGAATGAAATCTTCAAAGTAAAAAAGCTATGGTTATATAGTCTCAAAATATCTACCGAAATACTTATTAATTACAAAGGTCAAATTAGTAACTTTACTATTTACTAAAATGATAACTTGACTATTAATTACAAAGTTCAAAATAGTAACTTTACAGTACAGTAACATTACAACAGTAACTTACAGTAGCTTTACAGTACAGTATCTTTACAGTAGAGAACCTGGCAGACACGACCTTAACCAACTGATCAAAGATAAAATCACTAGTAATTGCAAACATGATATTACATGCCTTCTGATTATATGCCCTGTGGCATACATGCCTAAAACCTAAGCCTGGAATATACAAAGAGATGTAAGTAAACATGGTAAAGTGTTGACCATTGGGGAAATCTGTGTGAAGTTTGTGCAAGAATTCTTTGTCTCATTTTTACAACATTTTAAAAGACTGAAATAAGTTCAATATAAAAAATTAAAAAATCCTTTGTCCTGGCTGGAACAAGGCCTAAGAATAAAGGAGTCAAGGACATCGCAGGCATCAGGGACACTATCCCCTGGGACTCCAGTCCCTCTGGGTCCTGGACACAAAACTCCCAAAAGGAGGTGAGAAATTAGCCAAAAGCTTGGGGATGTTGTTTCAGTCCTCTCGCTGATAATTAAAACATTATTTTTTGACTCATTTCTCTGGAGGTGGTTAAGGAAAATGCAAGTGCTGAGGCCACAGATATTTCTTCTTTTTGTCTGGATACTGAGTCTCCTGAAGAGACACTAAGGATTTGGGCAACAGTCTGGAGCAGAAGGATGTCCGAGGTCACTAATGACTAGCATAAGTCAGAGGGAGCTGGAAATCTGCACTTGGGGATGGATCTGCTTGTGGGTTTGTGTGACTTTTTGTTCATCGGTGTGTTTGTGTGTGTGTTGTGTTGCATGCATGTGTGTACTATGTACCTGACTCACAGCCTGATTCTTTTCCTGACTTAGACTGAATCCGGGCTCTGGACTGAATCCGGGCTCTGTTTTAGTGCACGTAGACCAAGTTATCAGCCTCCTAACATGTGATTAGGGACCCCTGATTTATGCCTGTGATCTTAAATACTTGCATCACACCTGACCATATGAGAGCTCAGCTTTGGGGGTGAGATTTTTGTCTCTGCTGCTGGAGAAGAAGATGCCCAACCTCACCAAGGAACTGAGGTCGGGGAGGACTCAAACCTCTGCTTTGCAGGGTAATAATGTATGTGTGAGCTGTGTTCATAGGTGACACACTCAAATATGAAAGAAAGACTGTGTATTGTTTGCTTTGTCTCTGAGTATGTTACCATGTGTATGTTACCACATGCATGGGTTGCTGGTGGTTGTTTAATGGCTGTGCCTGTGACTGAATACGCTTAACTGACCCATGCTAACTGCCATCCCCCAGGAAGGGTATGGTCAGAAGGGTCCAAAGCATGTCTCTCGGTAATCGGAATGTGAGTGTTGTTTGTTGTAGTGAGTGTGTGGCTGGGTGTGCATGTCTGTGGGCATCTGATTTGCATCCATGACTTAAAATATTTCCTTGAGTGCTCTCATTTCAGGGAACCATTGGTTGAGATAACCAAATTCAAAGTGACTCTCTGTTTCCTGAAAAGGATATAACCTGCTTTTCATAAAAATGAGTATGACTGAGTTGCTCAGAATTTTGTAACTCTTTGTTTTCACTAATCGTCCCAGGCAAAAATCTCCAGGCATCGTACTGTGTGATGTTAGAATGCAGAATCATCATCAAATAGTGGAGAGACCTTGGGAGTTACTTCACTCCTTGGCCTCAGTTTCCACATGTATAAAATGGAAAGAATTACTCTTGCCTTGTGAACTTTATAGGCCCTAGGTAAATATTTACTGTTTAAATAGAAGTTAATGTACATGGATATTTTATCAGTTGGAAACAATATAAAAATGAAGGAATGAAATTTTCTAGGAGGGGGAATGAGAAGATTTTGATAAGTTTGGCTTCCTTGCAGTACTAAAATAATAGAAGGTGCTTGGCTCCCCTAACCAATCAAAGGGGAAGTTTCCCTGTGTAGTGGTTAAGAGCATGAGCTCTAATCACACGGTCATATTAGATTGAACCACATGAAGCAGCTAATACTTGGGAATGTATAATTTACAGAAAATGGTAATACATATATATCAAGTTATACATATTACATATTATGTACATTATATATCATGTATATTATAGATACATATACACACACATTTGTTCGCCATCTTTGTCCCCTACTGTACAGTTGTGGGCCTATCGAATTGATATCATTTATGTTTCTATTACTTAAAAGTTTTAGCTTTAGTATGGGTGAAAAACACAAATTCTTAATGCGGCATTGAACATTTTCCAAAATCTGGGAATGTAAGCCTGATGTGTGGATTTAATTAGGAAATATAAGAAAAGTCCTTAGCCTAGTACCCAAATGTTCACCAAAAAGTTCACCTTTTTTTTCTCTCTAAGGAAGACTAGCCCTGAGCTAACATCTATTGCCAATCTTCCTCTTTTTTTGCTTGAGGAAGATTAGCCCTGAGCTAATATTTGTGTCAGTCTTCCTCTGTTTTGTATGTGGCTCACCACCCCAGCATGGCTGATGAGTCTTATAGGTCCATACCAGGGATCAGAACCCACGAACTTGGGCCACTGAAGTGAAGTGTGCTGAACTTAACCACTAGACCACAGGGCTGGCTCCTGTTCCGCATTCTTATGAAAGATAGTTTGTGGACTATTCTGGTTTGGGAGCTATTGTGGCATCAAGTGTATTTAAATGACCACCCACTTCTAGAGTGACCATGAGTTTACAGTGGTAGGTCAAAGGGACCTGGCCAGTTCACAGGAGGAGTGTGACAATGCTCCAACAATGCTGCCTCAGCACTGGAGTCTCATGTTACTTTAAGGCCATAATAAGTGATACCACTTAGCAGAGGCTCATCTCCTATTTCTGCCCCAGTGAATTATTTTGATTTGGCTCTGTTGTGGCATAGCGAATCATCCCTCTATGCTCATCGAGATCTACACTCGCAGAGAGAAGGGGCCTTTCCTTTCTGTTCACTGCTGCACTCTCAGTCCTTAGTAGAAGTTCATGTTCAGACTCAATGTTCAATAAATAATGGTTGAATAAAACAGGAAACACGTTCTCTCTTCTGTGCAATGAGGTCTTATTGGCTGCTTTTGGGTGTGATGTTTTTCTGGAGCCAGATTATGATAGAGGGAAGAGGCATGCATCTGCAGGTGTGAGAAATTAATGAGAGTGTTGTTAAAGATTCATTGTTTCCCCAGAGAATTACAGTATGAAATGTAATGGTTTTGATCATCCTTTCTAGGTTCCTGAGATTCCCAAACCTTCTTCATCCCCAGCATACAGACAAGCCGTATGAGGCCAAAGAACCATAGCAGTGGGTCCTCATTCTTCCCTGGGGCTCCCCATCCTGCCAGAGCAGCAGAGTGTGTTCTTCACTCTGTTCCTGGGCATGTACCTGATCATGGTGCTGGAGAACCTGGTCATCATCCTGTTCATCAGTGTGGACTCTCTTCTCCACACGATGACATACTTTTTCCTCAGCCACTCTGCACTCATTCATGTCTCCCTTTCATTTGTCATTGTCCATAAGATGTTTATAAACATGTGTAGTCAGGATCAATCCATGCCCTGTACTAGGTGTATTTCACAAATGTATTTCTTCATTAACTTTAGTTATATTGACAGCTTTCTTCTCACAGTGATGGCATATGACAGGTATGTGGCCATCTGTCACCTTCTCCACTACACCACCATCGTGAGGGATAAGCTTCGTATCATCCCAGTGGCTGGGTCCTGGTTCTCCTCTTGTGGCCATGCTCTGTTGCATACCCTCCTTGTGGACCAGCTGTCCTTCTGTGCAGGGACTATCATCCCTCACTTCTTTTGTGATCGTGCTATTGTGCTCAAGTCCTCCTGCTCAGATGCCTCCTGAAATAAGCTGGTTATCCTCATTGAGGTAGGACTGATCTTCATTCTGCCATTGAGTGCTATCTTGGGTTCATATCTGCATGGCACTCGTCATTCTTAAGGTCCCATTCATCAAGAGAATCTGCAAAGCCTTGTCTATATGTGGCTCCCATCTCTTCGTAGTGTTTTTAGAGTAGTGAGTTATTGCAGGCTTTTACTTTTTCTCCTCATCAGACAACTCCAAAGACAAGGACATAATTGCTTCTGTGACGCACGTTGTTGTCACTCCCATGTTGAACTCTGTCCATGGCCTGAGGAATAACGATATGAAACACACTTTTCAGAAAATGTTCAGGACCAAGGACACCTCTTGGTTGTGTTAATTCAATCTCACTGTAGTGGGTATTCATGGGTGCTGTAAAATATGTCTCATTCAATAATTGTAACTTGGCCAACTCTAACTGACAGCCACTTAACTCTTAGCTATTCTTCTCTTGGTCCAATTTTACGTTTCCTCTCATCTTTATGTTCACCTGATTGTTCTTTTTTCCCTGCCTGCCCTCTGAATTCCTTGTATTAATGCTCTGCAGTGAAACTGCAAGCCCTCCTATACCCTGATGATGTTCACTGCAAGCTTGTGAAACTTTGGAGCCCACTTCCTTGGGCTCTAAGAGGTTTTTTTAATCTCCATTTTTTCTCTATAACACTCTCTATCGGTTACTGATACCAATACATATTAATATGAGTTTTCATATTACCACTCAATTTCATTTATTTTCATGTGTTGGAAATTCAGAAGTTACCAAACTACTATATCTATGAAAGAGTTAAGTAGCTGACATAGCTAGCATTCATTAAGCATTTAAATGTGTATTTATTACTCCCCAGCACAATTCTCTTATAAGGGTGTTAATATTTTCCATATTTACAGAGAACCAAACTAAATCTCAAGGAGATCTATTAAGTAACTGCCTCAAGACTTAACCTCAGACACATGTGACTTCAAAAAAATCGTGTGTTTAAACATATTACTTTATTGACATTATCTTGATTTCAAATACAATTGACCAGTTTGGTTGTTTTATATATAAAGCATAGAGTATGTCCTTTTTTGTGTTTCCATTTTGTTTTGTTGTGTATGGTTATGGTTAGCTCATTCTCATGCCTTTACAGTTTTCAATTGTGTCTATTCTTTAATCTATCCATTCATTCTAGTTTTGATTGACACTTGGTTATTCCCTGTTTGCGGCTTGTGTATATACCTAGTGATGGAATTTTTGGATGATAATTTATGTTTATTTCAATTAATAGATAATTTTTAAAAATTTAGACAAACTGCTTGTATGAGTTTACACTGCTCCCTGTAATATATAAAAAGGTGTGGCCACTTACTCATCAACATTTATACTGTCCATCTTTACACTATACACATTCTTATTAGTTTGTGTGAGTGCTGTGTTGGTGTCTTAATTTGCATTTGTCTGATAACTCATGTAATTCATCTCCTTTGCCTATGTTTATTGATCATTTGTGTCCTTTCTCTTGTAAATGGTCTGTCCTAGTCAATCGCTGCTGTTTTATTGGGTGGTCTGTTTTTTCTTATTGGTATCTAAGATTTCTATGTGTATGCTGGATATAAATCCTTTGCTGGATATAAGTATTGAGAATTTATTCTTTGATTATGTGGTTTGTCTTTTCATCATCGTAATTGGTCTTTTGATGAACAGTGTTTATATATCTTAATGTAGTCATAAGTATATATTTTTTTCATATGTGGCTAACTGTATCTGTGTCTATTTAAGAAATTTTCTTCTACCAAAAGATCTCTAATATATTCCCCTAATTTTTTATCTTAAAAAATTCTCATTTTTCCTTTAATGTATGTATATAAAGTTCATCTGCGTTCACTCTTAGTGTATGTTTTATGATATGGACACAAATTAATTTTGTTCCATATGGATATCCAATAGATATATAACAATTCCTAAGAAGTCCATCCTGTCTCCATTTGACTGCAGTATTGTCTTTGTCACAGATCAAATGACTGACTATACGTTATCTTGGCTATTTTTTAGTCTTACATTTCCATTTGATTTTTGGATTCTGCTTAACAATTAAAAACAGAACAAAACCATTGATATTTTATTTGGTATGGTATTGAAAATATAAAACAGCTTAGAAGAAACTACCACTTTAAAAATATTTAATCTCCAATCTGAGAACATGCTATATATCTTCAGTTATTCATATCTTCTTATTTTCTTTTGATGTATTTTGTAGTTTTAGGACTTCCACATGTTTTGTTCAACCTTTCCCTAGATATTTCATATTTGTGTGTAATTTAAAAATGTTGTAATCATTTAAATTTAGTATTCAATTTTTCTACCATATAGAAATATAGTTGACTTTTCTATGTCAAAGTTAATATGTAACTTTGCTAAATTCACTTGTTTATTATTATAATGGGTCTGTGTATTGTGTTGGATACTTTAAGTATATCATAATATTATCAGTGAATAAAAAAATTGAGTTCTACTTTCTCAATACTTGGACACTTTATTTCTTTTTATTCACTGAATGTACAGGTTAAGATTTCTCTTCCAATCTTGTATTTTTGCCACTTTCTATAATAAAATTTGTTTCAATGATTTTTAGTAAATTTACAGAGTTGTAATCTAGAATGGGCTGATAAATTCCCACAAAAATACAACCTACTAAGATTGAAACACAATAAATAGAAACCTTGAAGAGACCAATAATGAATAAGGAGGTTGAATAAGTGATCATAAACCACCCAACAAAGAAAAGCCCAGGACCAGGAGGTTTCACTGGTAAATTCTTTCAAATACTTAAAGAAGAATTAACACCAATCCTTCTTAAATTCTTCCAAAAAATTGAATAAGAGAGAGCACTTCCAAGTTCATTTTATGAGGCCAGCATTACTCTGCTACCAAAGCAAGTCAAAGACACTACATGAAAAGAAAACTAAAGGCCAATATTCTGATGGACAGAGATGAAAAAATCCTCAAAAAAATACTGGCAAACCAAATTCAACAGCACATTACAAAGATCATACACCAGGACCAAGTGAGATTGATTCCTCAGATGCAAGATGGTAAAATATATGTGAATCAATTAATATGATAAACCATATGAATGAAGTGAAGAATAAAAATCACATGATCATCTTAATAGTTCCAGAAAAAGAATTTGATTAAATTCAACATCCATTTGTGATAAAAACTCTCAGCAAACAAGGTAGAGAAGGAATTTACTTCAAGATTATAAAGGTTATAGATGAAAAGCCCACAGCTAACTTCATCCTTAACAGGGAAAATCTGAAAGCTTTTCTTGTAGGATCAGTAATGAGACAAGGTGCCTACCCTTCCCACTTCTAAACAACATAGTACTGGAAGTCCTGGTCACAGCAATTAGGCAATAAAAAGAAATAAAAGACATCCAAATTGGAAACGAAGACGTAAAATTGTCTCTGTTTTCAGATGACATGATCTTATATATAGAAAACCCCACAGATTCCACAAAAAAACTGTAATAACTAATACACAAATTCAGTAAAGTTGCTGGTTACAGAAACAATGTAGAAAAACCAGTTGCATTCTGTACACCAACAACAAACTATCTGAAAGAGAATTAAGAAAACAATGTCATTTACAATAGCATAAAAAACAATAAAATACTCGGAATAAACTTAACCAAGGAGGTGAAAGACTTTTACACTGAAAACTAGGAACATGGACAAAAGAAATAAAATATACAAATAAATTGAAAGACATTCTATGCTCACCAATTGGAAGACTTAATATTGTTAAAATATCCATACTACCCAAAGTGATCTACAGATTCAATGCAATCCCCTTAAAATCGCAATGAAATTGTTCACAAAAATAGAAAAAAACTCCTAAAATTCATATGGAAACACAAAAGATTGAGAATAGCCAAAGCAATCTTAAGAAAAAGGAACAAAATTGGATGCATCACACTTTGTGATTTCAAAATATGTGACAATGCTACTCTAATCAAAACATTGTAGTACTAGCATAAAGACAGACATAAAGAACAATGGAACAGAATAGAGAGCCCAGATTTAAATCCATGCATATTTGGTGAACTGATATTTGACAAAGATGCCGTTAATACACAGTGTGGAAAACATAATCTTTTGAACAAATGGTGTTGGGAAAACTAGATATCCACATGCAAAATTTTACAATGGCCAAGACATGGAAACAAGTGTCCATCAATGAATGAATGGATAAAGAAGAATTGGTATATTCACAGAGGTATATTATTCAGTCTTAAAAAAGAAGGAAATCTTTCCATTTGCAACAACATGGATGAACCTGGAAGACATTATGCTAAGTGAAATAAGTCAAACAGATAAAGAAAAATACTGTATGGTATCACTTATAACAGGAATCTAAAAAAAATGTAAAATTCATAGAAACAGAGTATAATGGTGGTTGTCAGGGGCTGGGGATGGAGGAAATGGGGAGATGCTGGTCAAAAATGACAGACTTTCAGGATCTGGTCCAGTGGCATAGCGGTTAAGTACGCGGACTCTGCTGTGGGTGGCCCAAGGTTCGCAGGTTTGGATCCCGGGGGCGTACAGACGCACTGCTTGTCAAGCCATGCTGTGGCAGCATCCCATATAAAGTAGAGGAAGATAGGCATGGATGTTATCCCAGGGCCAATCTTCTTCAGCAAAAAGAGGAGGATTGGCATTGGATGTTAGCTCAGGTTGTCCTGTTGCTCTCCACCTTGGTGAATACTACCTCGTCCATGCCCTCACTTGTGTAGCAGTGCAGGAAGGCCTTGCTTGGGAACATGGCCATGAACTTCTCGGATATCCTTGAACAGCTCCTGGATGGCTATGCTGTTACTGATAAATATGGTGGACGTTTTTAGCCCCTGGGGCAGGATGTCACAGACAGGTGTTTTCACATTGCTGGTATCCACTTTCATTCTTTTGCATGTGGATATCCAGTTTCCCAACACTGTTTATCCTTCCCCCCTGTGTATTCTTGGTTCTCTTTTCAAAGATTAGCTGATGGCACATGCATGGGTTTATTTCTGGGCTCTGTATTCTGTTTGGGAAGGCAGGATGTCCAAGAAGGACAGTCAGGGCTGAGAGTGGAGTGGCATTTGTAGGAAAGCAATGATGCTTTCAGGGAGTTTGCACTATAATTTGGTTATGTTTATGAAGGAGGCAAGCATGAAGCATGCTTTCATCAGTGATTGTGTATGGGGGCTAAACAATTTTAACCACACACTGTTGGGAAAGGGGGATTTCATGGGGAAGTCTTGATATCCAACAGGGCTCCCATCTTCAGAGTTGTTGTTGTAACATTGTCTACCATGAGTAGAGAGTAATACATTTCTTCTTATTTAAGTGACAGGTAGTGAATACTTTGATTTCAGTAGACCCATAAAGACAAAAAGAAAACTCGTTTAGTCTGCATAAGAGAATGTAGCGAAATAATATAGTTAATTCTTTAGATTCTGGGTTGTGCTAAAGCTTGAGATAATGGGCCAAAAATAAAAGGGTCTCCAAAAATCTCTTCATATAAAGATAATCAAACTGTGTATTATAGTATTATTTATACCCCCAAGTTGCAGAAATAAGTAACAAAATTAATTTAGCATTTACTGATCAAAAGTTACTTAGAAAGGAAAGTATTGTTAGTAAGAGAATGAAATACTTGTCAACAAATATTTGCCAAGTACATCCAACATGCCATCATCTGTCATAGGGCTTGGGAGACATAAATGTTTTGAGACATATTCAGATGGAAAATCAAATACATGAGATCAACGAAAATTAGTTTCTGATTTATATAAAAGATAATGTCACTGTGAGAAAAATGTTGCTCTACTGAAGAGTTTCCTGAGGGCCTTTTTCATGTTCCTGTTCCTCAGGCTGTAGATAAAAGGGTTCAACATGGGTGTGACCACAGTGTACACGAGAGCCACAGTGATGTTTTTGTCAATGAAATTGCTTAATGTTCAGAAAGGGACTGCCCAAATATTCCCCCATAATACAGAAACACCACAGAGAGATGGGAGGCACGTGTGGACAATGCTTTGCAGATCCCCTTGGTTGAAGGGACTTTCATGATGGTGGTCCCAATGTAGTCATAAGATACCAGGATACATATGAATGGCAGGGTAATGACTACCACCCCTACCGTGAACATGATCAGCTCATTAAGGAAGATATCTGAGCAGGACAGCTTGAGCAGGGCACCAAGGTCACAGAAGAAATGGAAGACAGTGTTAGTAGCACAGAAGGATCACTGGGTCAGAAGAAGGGTGTGGAAAAGGGAGCTGGCACAGGACAGGATCCAGGATATAGCCACTAGGAGGGCACACAGCTTTTCCCTCATGATTGTGATGTAGTGAATAGGGTGACATATGACAACATAGTGGTCATATGCCATTGATGTAATAAAGAAGCTGTCCAGGTCAGTAAGAAATATGAAAAAATACATCTGTGAAATGCACCCTGCAAGGGGATGGATTTGTACTTAGAGCATGTCCTTCAGCATCTTAGGGACGGTGACAGATGACAAGAAAACATCAGTGAAGGCCAAGTGGCTGAGGAAGAAGTACATGGAGGTGTGGAGGTGAGAGTTCAGCCTGATGAGCTTAAAGATGAGTAGGTTCTCTAGCACCTGGTCAGGTACATGCCCAGGAACAGGGTGAAGAACAGATCCCACTGGTATGGCCTGTTGGGGAGCCCCAGGTGGAGGAACTCCAACACACTGCTCTGGTTCTCCCTCCTCATGCTACTCTTTCCTCTGCTGCGAGTGAATGAAGGGTGGTTGAGAATACTAAGGAATCAAAAATAATCATTTTTAGCAGTCATGTGAAAAATATGTATATTTTATTTTGGAAAGTGGGAAACTTAACCTGTTTCTCATATGTTGGCACATAAAGGAATTAGAAAATTTGTGGATGAGGGAATGTTAATGAGAGCCAGCTTTTCTTGTTCCTGACAAAACAAATTCTTCTGTCTGTAGCACTGAGGATCAGACCATGGAATATGATGTCTCAGCAATGTTATTGCCTCAAGAACGCTCTGTGGTGAGTATTCCAATTCATCAACCATTTCACAGTAACCTTTAGAAGGTTTGACTTCAACACCCATTGTTAAATTTCACATTGAGGAGGCCTTTTCAAATAAAAGGAAGAAAAGAATGGTATTGTATTTGTTAAAGAACACTCATCAATATACATACATTTTGTTTATTTCAATCTGGTAGACGGTCCTTAAGAAACTCTGGATTATGTTAACCCATTCTCCTACTGCAGTCAAAGAAAGATTTTTTAAAAAAACTTTAATATTTTTAAAACCTAAATGACTTCATCTGTTTAAAAACTCTCAAAGGATTCCCACTGATCTTATGTTGAAGTGTAGCTACCTTAATATGGCCTAAAGACCCTGGAAAATCTGTATCTTTCCTACATTTCCAACCTCTTGTCCCTCACCCACCACTCCCATCCTTGTTAATTTCTCTGTTCTAATTTCGCCAGAAAGGCACATCTCCATTTGATGTCATTTAGACTCCTTCCCCTTGGTGGTTGTGCGTTTCCTGAGTTCCAATGTCATGTTGAGAAACTAAAGACCAGTCTGACTCCCAGGAAGTATTTTAGGCAAATTTATTAGTAGTTTATTGTCTACTGTCAACACACAGAAGGCTAAGTGACAACTCAAAAAGCCATCTTAAATTACAGACACAGCATATCTTTTCAAATACTTGCTAAATTCTGCCCCACTTTCTTCCCTAGGCAACATGATAACACTCATCCCATAATGAAAAATAAGGGCTATTATCAAAAGATGCCAAAAGAAGTGAGATTTAAGTGTATCCCAAGTTTCATCTCCCTCTTGAGTGTTCCTGCCATCTCAAAACATAACACCTGCTAATCAGTTGTGACAAGCAGAATGATGACCCCCAAATGTGTCCACATCCTAATACTAAGAACCTGTGGATATGGTGTGGTACACAGCAAGGCAGAATTAACATGCAGTTGGAATTAAGGTTGCTAATCAGCTGACTTTAAAATGAGATTATCCTGGATTATTTGGGTGGGCCCAATGTAATCACAGGTTACATTGTGATTGTACAAGAAGGAAGCAGAAGACTCAGTCACAGAGAGGTTTTAAAATATTATGCTGCCAGCGTAGGGGGCGGAGGAAGAGGCCACAAGGCAAGGCAGGCAAGTGGCCTCTAGAAGCTAGAAAAAGTAAGGAAACAGATGTTCCTCTAGAGTCTTCGGAAGGAATGCCAACATTTTCGTTTTAACCCAAGGAAACCCATTTCTGACTTCTGACCTCTGATCTCCAGAACTGTAAGATAATAAATTTGTGGGGTTTTTTTTAAGCCATTTAATTTGTGGTAATTTGTCAGAACATTAATATGGAATTGACATATGAATATTGGAAAGATCTTGGTACATCCTAATACTCTGGTCATCTGGGTACCAGTATGCAGCAAAATCCATGCGTCCTTCTCCAACTTCCACCTTGTATACAAACAAAGCAATAGCTTCCCAGAGACAATTCCTACCCAACAAGTAGGGAAATGAGGTTACTTTCTCATTAGAAGCATTCGCCACTAATCACAGAGGAGACTCTAAAACATCTCACCTACAAAATCACAAGATTGTCCTCTCTTTTGATAAGAAAAAGCAGAGTGGCAGAGAAAGCTCTTACTCATCCAGTGTGCCTCTATCCAGGAACAAAAACCCAGCAGAAGAACAAATAACAGTGACGGGTTTCAAATCTTCAGATTTTTTAATCTAACTATAGAGACCTCATCCCAATTCCTGAAAGGTGTCCTCACAGGTCAGTAAACCCAGTGTGAAAAGTGTTGCGCTCAAACTTCCTCCTTTTTCTAGTGCCACCTGAGGAGTGAGGCATTCTCAACCCTGTTTATCTCAGTGTGAGACTATGGGGAAAAAGCCACAGGTTTTAGAACAAGGTAGATTTGGCTCCTAATCATGGTTCCATTATGGCACTTTTGTCCCACAGAAAGTTTCTTCACCTTTGTGAATCTCAGAAAGACAAGAATGTTTACAAACACATATTTAAGCCCTTTGCATTTTATTGTAAAGATGAAATGAGATGACATGTGCAAATCTCTTAATATCTTTTCTTTCATAGTTCTCAATAAATGTTGGTATCTCTCCTGCCACAGCTAAAGACAAAATGCAAATCTACCCAGAGAGTGACTAGAGGAATTTACAATCTTTCACACACAGGACGAAATTATTCATATCCGTTCATTTGCTGTACTCTGGGTTTTGATATGTTGGACAAAGCCGTGGAATTGAGATTAGAAATGATTGGTAAAAATCAAGATGGCAAACCAGGAGCAGTAACATAGGAAAAGTGATCACAGAGGGAAAACCATCATTCTACTGCTAAAGTTATCATTCAGGCAGGTGAGAAACAGATGGACATTGTTTATCAGGGGGGAAAACTAAACAGGAAATTCAGGAGAGGGGCTGGTTCCCACAGAAGCAGCTTATGTTTCATATCCAGCAGCTGAGAGCAGTGTCCATGCCCCAGACTGTGTTTAGGAATAAACTGGATGATTTGCCAGGCAGCCAGGTGCCAATACATCATTAGCCTCCCACCACAACTCCAAGCCAAGGGCAGGAGGGTAACTGCAGTGGCCTATGTGAATAATAAAGTTCTACTTCCATGAGCTTGGGATCAAGGCATGTATTCAGCAGAATGTAAGAAGTGACTTTGTTTACCCTGATCCCAGCCTCCTACATCTTCTCTCCTTCAATGACCTTTCAATGAAGGTGTCTTTCTCAACTTCAGGTTCCCTCATATTGCTTCAGAAATTAGGAATGATCTGAACAGTCCTAGATATTCATAAATTAGGGACTAAATAAGTGACCTTTGGAGGGACATTTGTCCTTAAAGCACACACACTCATTCAGCAACTGGACCTTCAAAACCTACCATGGACAAGGCCCTGCACTAGAATGTTGTCCTGACTAAACAGCAACAAGTGAAAAACATTCCCAGTGTTGACATTTGGAGCATTTTTATAGTCAGTGATGGAGACATTTTGAGAATGTAAGAGGCCTTCCTGAAACTCTCAGCTTAACCACATAAACAGTTTTGGAATGCTTACATTTTGGGCTGTCCAGGCCTGGTTTTCTGTGTTGGAATCCAAAGCAAGTAGAAATTCTTCCTGAAAGACTCTACCCCTCTGTCTCTCTGTCTCTATCTTTTGGGTCACTTTTCTCTCTTTTTCCTCTTTCACTCTTCCTGCCTTCTCCTTCATTTTATCTTTCTCTCACTCGTTTTCTCCTTCTTCCCTCTCAGTTATCACTCTCTCTGCCTCTGTATCTGTATTCTTCCATCACCCCATGTCTCTATTCCTCCTCTCTCTCTCTATTTTTTTTATTTTCTCTTCTCCTCCATGCCAAAATCAGCTTTCTGATTCTTCCTCTTCTATACCCATATAAAAACCCATATATTGCTGAGAAAAAATACCCATTTCATCCCCAATACTGACCTTGCCTGAATTTATGATCCAATGTTTGGTGGTAAATTGTGTCCTGAGATTCTCTTTAGGGTACCTAAGTATCAGCTTCCAAGGTCCTAGACATTTCTTGGACACCAAGAAGAAAAGCTACAAGCTCAGACTCTCACTTTTATCTACCAACCCAAGATCTGTGAACCAAGGAATATAACTAGGCAAGGAGAGAACATAAGTGGTGGGGAGGGGACTTGTAATTTCCAGTTAAAAACATCCATCAAGCTTGGACTAACTGCCCAATTTTCCCCTTGATTCCTCTAGAAAAGATCTCCTGTGGGAGGCATGTTTGTGCTGGGAACCTTTGAGAATGAGCCCAACGAGAAAGGATCTCAAGCCACCCTCAGTCTCCTTTCCATTCCAGGCTCTCCTTCCCCAGCCATAATCATACTTTGGCATAGGATAAACTCCAGAGAGTTAAAAAAAAAAGAAAGAATTACTGGTTCCAATCAAGTCCAAATAGAAAGCCAAGTGACTGAATGGACCCTGAGAATTTAGGTACAACCGTATCCCATTCAAAGGGATCTTTTTGGGGCCTACCCACCAGATAACCTAAAGGAAATGACTTTGTGTTTCTTCTCTCTGGTGATCATTATGAAATGCGAAGTGGGAAGAGGCAGAGATAACCACCTTTTTTGGAGGTTTTATTGCTTTCTTGACAAACTTAGGTCGGTTACATCAAATAAAAATAGTTGTCAAGGAATAAATAAAAGAAGGGAAGAATGAAGAAAGTTAGGAAGGAAGAAAGGTGGGGAGGGAGGGAGGGAAGAAGGGAGGAAGGTAGGGAGGGAGGAAGGAACGAAGGAAGGAAGGAAGGAAGAAAGGAAGGGGGGAAAGAAGAAAGTTATGGAAGGAGGGAAGGAAGGAGGAAGGGAAGGAAGGGAGGAAGGGAAGACCAAAAATACCCCGCAAAGAAAATAAACTTGCAAATAGGAAAAAAAGTTGACACATACATCCAGAAAATTTGACTGTTAAAATTGAAAACCTCAAGCATATTGAAATTGATTTTTGAATAAAATGGTCATTTAATATGACATTTGTGATTCTTAGGGGTGAGATATATAGACAAAGAATTATTTATGGCTTGAGATAATAATCTTTGAGAGTTTATTTTGGCCTTTTTGATATCTGGCTTTAACGGGTGGTAGGTATAGTGAAACCTATATCTGGGCAGCTTCTTTCTAGCTATGATGACCCTGTATTAATGCCACAACTCCACGTATCTTGGAGAAGAAGGACTCAGAAAACTCTGTCAACTCAGAATTGTTGAATTCTAGTACATGTCTCATGGTTAGCATTCTAGGCAAAAGCCAGAGAAGCTACCAGAATATTGGTACTAGTAGCAGATTAGCAAACTCCAGGTGGGCCGTAAACTAGATTGGCTATAGGCACTGGATTCCCTGGGAAGGACACAACAGACACTTGGCGCACTGGGAAGGGAAACTCTATGGGGGACAAATAGGTGGGTCAAAAAGACAAAAAGAGATTGGATTGGTGGTTACCAGAGGGGAAGGGGGGAGG